AGTTTATTGAAGTTGCTCAAACAACAAGATTTAAAAGGCTTAGGCGGAATATATCTTGATGATGTAATGGAATCTTTGCCTCATGCAGAAAAGGCTTTAAAGGTAGAAATAATAAAAGGAATTTTATTTATGCTTCTTAAACTATAACAAATTTCATTTTGTATTTAAGACTCTACAGAATCAAAATGAAATAATTTTTGTTGCAAGACCATTAGACAAAAAAAAGGTGTTATTTTATAATGATAGAACTGCTAGTATGCCAATAGATGAAGAATTTCAGAAATTATGGAGGTCAGTTGCTGTTGATGCAATGGATGATGAAAAAATTGATGAATATTTAGAGAAACAAGGTGAAATTTTAATCAGATTTAATGTCAGAATTCCATACTTAAAGAAATCTATCTCCTAAAAATATAAAAATTATTTTTAAATATGTATTTCAGGCATAAGATCAATGCAGGACCATGGTCCCAAAAAACCAATGGTACCTTTAAAACGAAAGAAAGCTGCCCAAAGAAAGAAACAGTTCAAGAGACCCAGAGATAATGAGCATTTGGCTGATGTTTTAGAAAATTATGAAGACAACACTTTAACTCAAAAAGGCCAATACTCCACCTAATCACTCATTTTTTAACGTACAAGAAAAAATAACAAGCAATTTACTTATTAAACAGTATCATATTAAAATGATCATTTGTGTAAAGTGGATATCTATTTCTAACAGGGAAACGCGGAGATAATTTATGTGATAATAAACTTCCTGTTTGAAGATTATTTATAGAAAGATTGAAATAAAAAAGTGTTTAGTACTAACATTTTTTTATTGGAATTGTTATACCTACTAAATAAGCATGAAAATTAAAATTTGTTTTCTGCTTTTATTTTTCCAGTCGTTTGATTTTTGTTTTGGTTCAGATAATGCAACATATCAAGAATCCAAAAAATCTCGGGTACGTCGTATTGTGGGTGGCTACCCGGCAAAAATGCCGCCCTATGACGATCCTTTGGTGTTTATAAATTTTGCAGGAAGATTTGCCAAAGTGAGGGGAGTGTTGGACTTTCCGCATTATGTTTTTCGTGGATTGCGATTCGCTGAACCGCCCATTAAAAAAGAAAGGTTTCAGGTATTTCTCAAGTACAATTATTATATTTATATGTTAATTTTGATTAGGAAAAATTTATTGCTGATAATTTAGAGGCCAAAGCAACATTTCCTGAAAGGTGATGTAGACGCAACTAGATTTCCACCCCCTTGTATTCAACCAATTTCTGGACAAAACAGAGTCGTTGGTAGTGAAGATTGTTTATTCCTAAACGTTTTTACTCCTGATTTACCTATTGGCACTGAAGGTTACTACAAATTTCTATACTTAATAAATTTTTAAAGAGTCTTTCTAAAATCTTTTTCTACAGGTCTTCCTGTAGTGGTCTGGATTCACGGGGGTGGATTCAGATATGGTTCAGCTTCTCAATATGGAGTAAGCACCATAAAAAATGTTTTAAATTATATTAATACTTACGCAAATTAAATACTTAGGTTAGACATTTAGTTGGCAAGCGGCTAATAGTTGTTACCATACAGTACAGATTAGGTTCCTTGGGATTTTTAAGTACGCAGTCAGCAGAACTGCCCGGAAATGCAGGATTTTGGGATATGGTAATGGCGGTAAGATGGGTTCGAAATTACATAGGATATTTTGGGGGAAATCCTTACAATATTGTTGTAATGGGACATGGATCAGGAGCAAGCAGTGCAATGTTAATGGCACTGAACAAAGTAGCGAAAGGTCCATATTTATTTATCATTTAAATTTTCTTAAACAACTCATTAATTTATTTATAATAGGATACGCAAATGGAGTTATAGCCTTATCAGGAACAGCAGTTTCTAACTGGGCAATGGATGATGATCCCAATGGGGTGGCAAGGGAACTTGCTGAGACTCAAGGTTGTCCCACCACCTCAGCATTAGCAATGATTAAATGTTTGCAGAGTATACCAGCTCAAAATATAATTAATGTAAACGATCTATTTTTAATTTGTTAGTTTTGTAATTCTCTATATTATTAAAGGCTGATTCTCAAATACAAATGCAACGAGTAAATTCGCGAGGATTTATGGGAGCAATGTCAAGATCACTTGGGGCTTCTCCAGTTGTAGAAGGCGTACACGATGGAAGGTCTCTACCCAGTGGCGTTGAACACGAACCCTTCAAGCAAATGTCCGAAGGAAATATACCAAATATTCCTTTATTTACCGGAGTCACCAAAGAAGAAACCAAACGTGCCGTTAACAGTAAGATTTTAAATTTTAATGACAAATTTTGAATTCATAATTACTTGGTTGGCAGGCGTTTTTAAAGATGAAGTTCTACAATCACTACAAACGAAATCCGAATTTTTGAATAAGGTACTTATTCAAGAACTTCAGTCGTTTACTGCGATAGGAAAGGAGTCTATAATTGGGTCTCAGAATGGTCTCTGGAAAACTTTGGATTCGTTTAAGTTTGGAAAATACATTGACGTTGCCAAAAATAATGTTGTTGAAGCTTTTGGAAAAATTACCGAAGCAACAGGTAACAAAATCAGACACTCAAAAGATTTTACTTACTATCTGTCTCTACGTTTTTAGCGGACGCTTTGTTCAACTTACCGGCCTTCCTTTCTGTGAATTTGTGGTCGAAAAGTANGGAAATATACCAAATATTCCTTTATTTACCGGAGTCACCAAAGAAGAAACCAAACGTGCCGTTAACAGTAAGATTTTAAATTTTAATGACAAATTTTGAATTCATAATTACTTGGTTGGCAGGCGTTTTTAAAGATGAAGTTCTACAATCACTACAAACGAAATCCGAATTTTTGAATAAGGTACTTATTCAAGAACTTCAGTCGTTTACTGCGATAGGAAAGGAGTCTATAATTGGGTCTCAGAATGGTCTCTGGAAAACTTTGGATTCGTTTAAGTTTGGAAAATACATTGACGTTGCCAAAAATAATGTTGTTGAAGCTTTTGGAAAAATTACCGAAGCAACAGGTAACAAAATCAGACACTCAAAAGATTTTACTTACTATCTGTCTCTACGTTTTTAGCGGACGCTTTGTTCAACTTACCGGCCTTCCTTTCTGTGAATTTGTGGTCGAAAAGTAAAGCTCCTACTTTTTTATATTCCTTCGATCACATTCCAAAAGTCAGTAAAGCGCATTATTTTCTAGCTGGCCTGCCTTTTGTTGGAAATAACAGTAAGCGCAACATTATCTTTTTCGTTAAAATAGAAATAATTTAAAATGTAAAACAGAAAAAGAATATAAAAAATTATAATAGGTGCTCAAGAACGTTCAGCAAGTCACGGCGAAGATTTGGCCTTCTTATTTGACGCGTATACCCTCGAAGGAGAACCGTTAGATTTAAATGGAGACTTCACAGAAGAAGATATGCAAGTACGAAACGTTTTCGTGGAGGCCATAGCCAGTTTTGCGAAACACAAAAAAATCTCCTTTGAAAACAAAGATCTGCCAAGTTTTTCAAGTTCTAACAATAATTTTTTCCAAATAAGTTCTGCTCCGAAAATCGAAAGCAATTTTCGATTTTGCCAAATGGGTCTTTGGGCTGGTTTAGCCGATAGATTACAAGATGCTCAGTGCAAGGTATTCAACATTTTGGATAGTGAACTGAAAAATTATCAAAAACAACTTTTCGACGTAGCCGGCGTACCTCAAAAAAATCTTCCAAAGGTTCCTAATGTCGGAATTGGCGGATTAACATCGCATATAGGGCAAAACTTGGGAGGGATTTTTGGAAAAAAATAAAACAGGTAAAAAAGTACTCGTATTTTTAATAAAAAAGCATTCTTAGTTGTACGACTTACTTAACTACTTATTACTTTTACCATGGTCCCAAAAAACCAATGGTACCTTTAAA